GAAAAATTTTCGGTGTTTTTCCTCAGAGATCTCGACCGTCTCTTGTGGACACTTGGCTGGAGCTCGATCAGTGCGAGGACATCAACAAAATTCGGGCGTATTTTTCATACGAGCACTTTTACGTTTTGTACTGTAAATTTTGGGAACTAGATGAAGACCATGATTTTCTGTTGGATAAAGTAAGAGTGATTCTATCGCGTGAATTTTTTGTTCTCTATTGCTTGAGATGAGGGATGCCTTGTTCTGACCTGTTTTGAATCTTGCACGGGGGACCTCAAGATTCGCTTCTTTATGAGTATGTGTTTATTCCGACCTGCTTTGAATCGTGCACGGGCGACCTCAAGATTCGCTTCTTTATGAGTGTGTGTTTTTTCCGACCTGCTTTGAATCGTGCACGGGCGACCTCAAGATTCGCTTCTTTATGAGTGTGTGTTTTTTCCGACCTGCTTTGAATCGTGCACGGGCGACCTCAAGATTCGCTTCTTTATGAGTGTGTGTTTTTTCCGACCTGCTTTGAATCGTGCACGGGCGACCTCAAGATTCGCTTCTTTATGAGTGTGTGTTTTTTCCGACCTGCTTTGAATCGTGCACGGGCGACCTCAAGATTCGCTTCTTTATGAGTGTGTGTTTTTTCCGACCTGCTTTGAATCGTGAACGGGCGACCTCAAGATTCGCTTCTTTATGAGTGTGTGTTTTTTCCGACCTGCTTTGAATCGTGAACGGGCGACATGAAAAGTCGCCTCTATATGAGTGTGTGGTATTTTCCCGGGATATAATCGCAGCTTGATTCGGACCTCTTCTGTATCTTGTATGCTCAACCTCAAGATTCTCTTTTAGGATGATTTATTGAAGTACGATGGTCACGCATTCTCCCGCAAGGCGATCGATCGTATTTTTTCCGAAATTCCGGCCAAGTTCATTTCCGGTATCCCGGGGAAGATGGGCTACGAGGACTTCTGCTGTGAGTCTAGTTCGTCGCGGAACAAAAGCGCGCGCCCTGATGATCGATTTGTAGGGTTCCTGATTTCTGATGAGGATAAGACCACTGATGCTTCGTTGGAGTACTTCTTCAAATTGGTTGATTTGGATGGTGATGGTGTGATACGGGATCATGAGATGGCGTGAGTAGCGCTCGCCCTGGTGATCGATTTGGTATCAGTGGGGCAGATACTTCTATTTGGAACAAGTTCAGCGGCTGGAGTGTCTACATCAGGAGGCTGTTCGGTTCCAGGATATACTCTGCCAGATGAATGATCTAATAATGTGAGACTGTCGCGCGCACTTGAATTTTTCCGAAGAAATTCTGGAAATTTTTTCCTTCTGGTTTAGGCCAGAAATGGAGGGGCAGTTCGAGTTGGAAGATTTCAAGCGCACGCGGAAGATTTCGGGAATCTTTTTCAGCATCCTGCTCAGCTTGAACAAGTTCTTAGCGTAAGTCGGAGGAGCGCATCTTTTGAGTTTGAGATCGGTTGCGCACTGCGAAGAATCTGTGAATATACTCAACATGAAAAAACTACAGATGACAGCAGATTATAGACACTCTTGTTTTGAGGGAGGGTTTAGCGCACGCCCAGGTGATCGATTTGGAGGTTTTTTGGTATGTCAGATACGAACAGCGAGATCCATTCTCAATAAAGCAGGAACAATTGGAACATCCGGATTATAGTGAATGGGATCGATTCTGCGCGCAGGAGTAAGCATTTGGAGTGCAGGATTTTTCGGGTTTTTTCTTGAAATTTGTGGAAAATTTTGGGAATTTTATGTCCACGATCGATCTACGGGTGCAAATTTTCCGGGAAATGGTATTTTTTGTCTTGTGAGCTCCTGAAAATACTTTTTTGACTGTTATTGCCAATAAATCATTGATCATTGTTCCAAGGTATATTCGGCTGGCGATGGAGGATGATGTGGATGACCAGGCCTCGTGAGTTTGACCAGAAATCGATCGCGTGATCGATTGGGTTCTCCTTAGGAATTCTGTAATGAACACTGATGGTGGCGATGTGGATGGACAGCAACGACTCCG